TGTATCTGCCTTTGTTTTCACCAGTACTGAGGATGGACCGCAGGACTGCACATCCTGGGCAAGCACTCTGCCACAGAGCTGCATCTCAGTTCTTAGTGTCTTTGTCTGGTAGAAATTGTAGTTGCTCATCACAACAATGACTTCTTTTTCCTTTGTTTGCCTAAGTTTGTTGTGCTAGGAACAAGCCCCAAAGCGGAGATAAAAGTATTTATCCGATCAGAATCAATGGGAAAGTTCTAGTAAAGAGAATATACTGTGGGCAGAAACAAGGAGTGTCCCTAAAAGGGAATAGGGTCCTTTTATAACAGTCAGGAGACTAAGTACCTGCCCTTACCTTCCGAGCCGTTTGTATGGGGCCAAGTGTGAATAGATAGCCTGCTCACTGTTGAATAGTAAGTTTATGGACTGGCCATGTCAGGTGTAAGGCACTGTGGTCATTAGGAATCAGTCTCAATTGGATATATAAGGTGAGCAGCACAAGCTGCAGAACTAATCTGATTGTTAGCCGGAGATTTTGCTTTTTACGTTTGTCCTTTTGGTTTTGGCCTCTTTGCCTCCACACAAGTGTCTGAGAGAAAGGCAATGGACGGCAGTAAAGACCCCAGTGTGACAGTCTTCAGCAGCTGTCCAGAAAGGAAAGCACCAAGATCTGCAGCCCTTCCCTCCTCCCTCTGCAGGCCAAGTCACTTCCCAGCTACTGGCTGGTGGTGTTCCCAGCTCTCAGCCGAGAATGTTATCAAATTTGCAAGTATCTTCTGCCATGCTGCCTGAACAGTGGGGTCATTGAACTTTTCCATCGCTGTTTTCGGCTGTTACTGGATCCAAATCAACTCTGTTTTGGCCTACCTCTTTGTTTGTACCAGCAGTATGTGTTTGTTTCATGACCTGGCCGTGGCCTGCTTCTGGGCTCCTGAAGACATTCTATCAGGGAGGCTCTTCTTACACACTTTGATCTTCAGAGCTTCGGGAGATTGCTCGGGTGACCAGAAGAGCCCTGAGCTGAGCATCCTCACCACCTGGGTTTTGGATTGGTGTTGTTACTCATTTGTCCCTTAATCTGCTTGTTGTTTATGACATTTAAATACAGAGTCTTCGTGAGATTTTTTTGGGGGGTAGAGGGAAGGGTGAGCAAGGAAGATTTTTTTGAGAGGTAGAGAAAGAACTCCCTGGTTGGGGGGCTGGGGGATTCATCATGAAGAATTGTTGTCCCTTCATGAGAATTTTTATTTTCAGAAATCTTTGTAGATTTATTTCATGTGTTGTGAATGTTTTGCCTGTATGTATATTTGTGCACATCTGTGTGCCTGGTGCCTGTGGAGGTCAGAAGAAGACACTAGATGCCCTGAAACAGGAGTTATGAATAATTATGAGCCACCGTGTGGGTGCTGGGAACCAAAGCTGAGTCCTCTGCAAGAGCAGCAAATGCCCTTTAACCACTGAGCCAGCTCTAGAACTGCTAAGGGAACTGTCTTTGTCAGGGTTTCTGTTGCAACAAAAACAGCATGACCAAAAAGCTAGTTAGGGAGGGAAGGGTTTATTTGCATACACTTCCAGATCATAGTCATTGGAGGAAGTCAGGACAGGAACTCAAACAGGGCCTGAACCTGGAGGCAGGAGCTGATGCAGAGGCCATGAAGGGGTGTGGCTTACTGGCTTTCTCAGCCTGCTTTCCTACAAAACCCAGGACCACCAGCCCAGGAATCACCCCACCCACAATGGGCTGGGCCCTGACCCATCAATCACAATTAAGAAAATACCTTACAGCTGGATCTCATGGAGGTGTTTCCTCAACTGAGGCTCCTTTCTCTCTGATGACTTTTGTGTGTGTCAAGTTGACACAAAAAACCAGCCAGTACAGGAGCTGGGTTTTTTTTGTTGTTGTTTTTGAGACAGGGTTTCTCTGTGTATCCCTGGCTGTCCTGGACCTCACTCTGTAGAGCAGTCTGGCCTTGAACTCAGAGATCTATCTGCCTTTGCCTCCAGAGTGCTGGGATTAAAGGGTTGTGCCATCACCACCTGGCTCCCATGAGAACTTTTAAAGAGTCAAATGGAATAATGATTATGAAAAGAACTTTGAAAATCACATTGGGAATATGCTAAACTGATGGCTGTGTTCTTAAAAGATTTCTTTGGGAAAGCCCTCATATGGTTCCTTTTAATGACCCAAGGGGCTGTATGAGCATTAAAGAAACGACATAAATTAAAACGACAATCCCGTCCAGTCCATCCTACCTTACCTTTTTAAAAAGAAATGCTAGGACTGTGTAGAGAATCCTTCGGAAATCTTAGATTTTATTTTATAGTGTGAGGAATTATTGATGTTAAAGGTCTTGTTTACTTGTAAGCAAGTTTTGCTTGTAGTAAAATGAGTTTAATATAACCTGGTCTGAATTACTGTGGACTCCTAGAGGCAGGGACATTGTTTTGTGAGGACAGTGTCCTGTATGTGGATTTGGACCCTGTGTTACCAGAAACGACCTTGGGTGAGGTGAGACAGTTCACTTCCTTGTGGGATTTCTTTTTTTTTTTTTTTTTTTGAGATATGGTCTCATTGTGAGGCTATGTTGGCATCAAACTCAGAGATGTGCCTCCTGAATGCCAGGATTAAAGGCATGTGCCACCACACCCAGTTATTGATTTTATTGTAAAATGGGTGGGTAAAGTGAACATAAAAACACTAGTTCTCACTTTCTGTTTAAATTTTGCATGCAAGGAAGGAGAAAGATGAACATGTTCCAGCAGTGGTTGGAAATTTGGCAAGAGAAGGCTGGGGTTCCGGATTAGCAGAGGACTTGTCTAACATGAAGACTTGGAAACTCCTCTCTTGAAAAAGCAATTTGTCATGATTTTTGAGGTCTGAACATAGATAGTTAAGTAAGGGTTAATTTGAACCTGATATTTTTTACTAAAAGAAACTGCTTTATGTATTTTTTTCTAGGAGAAAAAAAGGAATACATATTTTATTTTTATATTTTTGACACAGGATCTTTATGTATATGTGTTCCTGGTTGTCTGGCTATGTAGAACAGTCAGGCTGACCTTGAACTCACAGAGATCCTTTTGCCTCTGCTTCCCTAGTGCTAGGATCAAAGGAGTGTGCCACTGAGTGAGAAAAAAAGGAAAAGGAAAGGCCATGACTGCTCCTAGGAATTATGGAGGAGAAAGGTTATTGTAGATAAAAGGGAGACATAGCTAGAGGCAGAGACATCAGGGAGAGTCCAGAGTGGATGTGACCATGAGCTATGTGAAGAGGAGGGATGGGACAGGGTGGGGAGGGAGAGAAGGGAACCAGGTGCAGCAGCAAAGAGGGCAAAGGGTAAAAGAAGAGGGCTGATAACCAAATGGCCAGATTGTATAGGGAAGAGCCTTTTAGGGAAGGCTCTCCCAGTCCCTAGGCTGGAGAGTTCAGGGTAGAGGTGTTAGGATTTATATTAAAATGCCGCTTATAACAGATATGATATAAAAGAGATTTATTGGGTGGAGGTGGAGAGAGAGAGGGAAAGAGAGAGAGAGAGAGAGAGAGACATGGTGGGGAGGGGGCTCCCTGACAGAGAAACAAAAGCAGAGAGAGGGAGAGAGAGAGAGAGAGAGAGAGAGAGAGAGAGAGAGAGGAGGCAGGGGTCCTTTTATCCCCCGGCCTCTGGCCTCTGGTGGCAGTGACCAATGATAACATTACAGGTGCCTAAGCAACCTGGGAGTGAGCTAGTGCATCAAGATTTGTGAAGTAACGAGGATTATGCCATCTGTACCCTGTAACAGGTAGAGACCAGGGGTTGCTGGGAGAACCTGGTGGCCAGGTCCAATTTGATATGTTAAATAGGCACCTCAGCTATTTGTCCCAGGGTTTGAGACTGGCCTCGAATATATATTTTAGAAGGTAGAAGATCCTGAAGTTAAAATTGAACAGGAACCAGAATAGTGAAAAAAGAGAAGTCACTAAGTACATATTTTGTTTTTAATTTCTGTTTGATTTTTGCAGTGCTGAGGTTGAACCCAGCACAGTAAGTGCCTAGATAAGCCTCACCCCTCCATGATGATATTTAGATACTATTTATTTTTTGGTACTATGTCTTGGTTAGGTTATTAGTTAGTTATATAAATAGTTCTTTTTTTCTGTTTCTAAAGCTTTTCTATGAAAGGAACTGTTGGTCTAAAGAATTAGCCGATGAGGTAAACAGTGGCTCTGAGGAGGGCATCCTGCCTGTAGAATTCAGTGTTCCATGTTGTGGTCGAGTGTTCTGGTCTGCTTGAGTGGGTTGTTGTTGTTGAGACAAGGTCTCACTGTGTAGCCCTCGCTGGGCTAGAACTCTCTGAGATCCGCCTGCCTCTGCTTCCTATGTGTGTTCTGAACTCTGGATCTGTTTATGCTGACACGTCTGTCCACACCTTCACCCTCCAGGAACTGGAGAGCTTTAGGGATTGAACCCGGGGCTTCACACATGCTAAGCATGCACTGTGCCATAGAACTCAACCCTTAACCCCTTCTTTGTTCTGCTTTTATAAATGGTAAACCCTATCCATCTTCCCTCCAGGTGGGGGTAGGGCTGTTGTGTAAGGTGAAATGAGACGCAAGGGAAAGATTGACCAAAGTGAAAGCAATAGACAAGTAATGTTATGGAGATGGAAATGTTAACATAGAGTTGTCAGCATAGACAAAGAAGTTTGCATGAGGGTGATGGTAGTGGTGGTGCACTCCTTTAGTCCTTGGGAGGCCAGCCTGGTCTACAGATTGAGTTCAGAACAGCCAGGCCACACAGAGAAACCCTGTCTTGAAAAACCAAAAAAGAAAGAAAAAGAAATTTGAAAGCATCTCTTAAAATCACGTGACTCCCTGGACTGAAGTTAAAGTCTCTCAGGGCCATACCCTTAACAGTTAAGCTGTCAGCCAGAGGTCATGAACGGCAAGTTAACACCTGCTTTCTGGCTTGCAGATGTTTGATTAGTACGAGTGGATTTGACTAAGAGTGGCTTGGTAAAATCCTATTTCATACTTAATCTAGGAGCCAACACGAGACAGCAGCCCTTCAAGGTCCTTAGGCAGCTTGGCCTGGAGGAGAACACATGAGAAAAAGGTTTGTTTCTACAGAATGTAATTCATCAGAATTTAACAAGAAATGAGTAATCTTAAAGCATAAAGTTCTGTTTTCTTTTTCCCTTTTCAGAACCCCAAGAGGCTTTGTTTCCTTTGAAAAGGTATTTCTGCACAGTTGCTCCAATGACAGAGATACCCGCTCCCTTGTCCTATTTCCAGAATGCGCAGATGTCTGAGGACAGCCACTCCAGTAGCGCCGTCCGTGGCCAGGTACAGTTGGCTTCTGAACCTTCCCACCATCCTCCTGGTGCCGAGGCGGGGCCAGGTTTGCTCTGCTTTGCTCAGAGTCTTTACTTGTTGAATGTAGTGTTGAGGGGGAAAACCGTGGTGCTAGGGGATCCAAAACTGCTTTTGTTTTACTGTGTTCTGCCAGGGGCTTATCCTCATATCACCCTAGCTGAAACTTTCTCCAGCTTCTGATGTGTGCCGTCTGCATTATTTGTATTATAATAAGGATTATACCACTACAACATAGCTGGAATAAAGGAGGCCTACTGTGGGAAAAGGGGAGAGGAGAAGGGAGAGAGAGAGAGATGGGGAATGCTGGGGAGGTCCTTCTATCAGGCTCACCTGGCTGCACACCTGGTGGCGCCAAGTGATAACATCAGAGGTCGCCAGGACCCTGAAACAAGGCTATTGGGACCATCTGTACGCTAACAATTTATTTTGATCCTGATCTTCTATGGGAAGAAGTGAGTAAATTTATTACTTTTTCTAGTATTGATTAGTTTCTGACAGCATTCTTTTGGTAAATATTTAGTATAATGAGTATACAACTCAGGGTCAAATGTCAAAGTTCTGAGTTCAGGAGAGGGATGTGTGATGCATTTACACAAACTCTTCACAGGCTACGCACATATTAAAGCTGAGCCATGTTGTAGCCATGTTAGCTGAGCATTGCTGACTGAAGGCAGACTCCACAGTGGGCCTGTGAAATGTCGAGGGAATTGACAGAATTTCCTGAGGTGCAACCAGGATGGAGGAAAACCTTGACAACGCCAGTCTAAGCTCTGCAAGGCTGCCTTGGGGGCTAGTGTGCACTCGCTACTAAAAGCTGTCACTAAAGCCAGCCTGGCCTACAAAATGAGTCCAGGCCAGCCAAGGCAAGGCTACGCAGAGAAACCCTGTCTCAAACAACAAAACAAAACAAACAAACAAAAAAAGGCAAGTCACAAATGAAGATGCAGAGCCTGGAGAGATGTCTCAGGTGTTCAGAGCAATTCCTGCTTTTCCAGAGGACCCAGGGTTCCCCGAGTCTATGTGAGGTGGCTCATGCCTCTTAACTCCAGCTCCAGAGGATCTGGTGCACTCTTCTGGTTTCTGAGGCACCTGTGTGTGTGTGTGTGTGTGTGTACACACAGGAAAGCATGCAAAATGATCCTCAAGATTTTATTTGTACTCTGAAGATTTAGACTTCCTCACTTTCCCTTCAGTAAAGTTAGAGGATTTACTAAATAATGTCAGTTCTCTCCTAACTTAAGTGTTTAAGCCTGAAACTGGAATGTAGGATTAATAGGGTCAAGACTGAACCAGTTACTCCTACCACAAGTATAATGAATTGAAGTAATTTTGGAGAAGACTAAGCAAGTCTTACTCAGTTAGCTTATGTCTTGTGTAAGTTTAAACACCATTATGCGTTGTAGGTAACATCATTAGAGATAACTTTGAAAGCACATCTTGTTCTTTCAAACTTCTTTCATGGGGTCACATGTCTTTAAGAAATGAAATGGTAGGCTGCAGGAGTCCAGAAAACAGGTTTCATCTTGTAAGCTGCTATATATAGTCTTATTTATAGTGAAGGGACTTGATGTGTGATAAGAGTGACAGAGCTGAAAATAGCTGATATTTTTAAAGCCCAGATATTTCTAAAAATTTTATTGTATAATGTTCTAAGAGTCTAGAGCAGCGGTTCTCAACCCTCCTAGTGCTGTGACCCTTTAATACAGTTCCTTGTGTTGCTCTGACCCCAGCCATAGAATTCTTTTCATGCTACTTCATAACTGTAATTTTCTGTTATGAATCACTAATGTAAATATCTGATATGCGACCCCGTGAAAGGGTTGTTTGACCCTCCCAGAGGGTCACAACCCACAGTTTGAGAACCACTGATCTAGAGTGTAGCAAACAAATACCCAGCTTCATTAAAGTTAAAGGGCTCATTATTTGACCTATATAGCTTATTTGTAGAGGCTATTTTTATTAAGATTTTTTAAATTCTGTGTTTCTTAAAAACAACTCATTATTTTTCTGTGATACTACAGTTCAAAACCAGAGCTCTCCCAAACCTGTTTCTATTTACTAACCTTAAATTGAATGAAATCATAACCCAATAAAATGAATCTCTGTGTTTAATTTGGAAAGAAAAACTAGGTTTTTTTTTTTTTTTTAAGATTTATTTATTTTATTATGTATACAGTGTTCTGTCTGTAGGCCAGAAGAGGACACCAGATCTCATTATAGATGGTTGTGAGCCACCATGTGGTTGCCGGGAATTGAACTCAGGACCTCTGGAAGAGCAGCCAGTGCTCTTAACCTCCGAGCCATCTCTCCAGCCCGAGAAACTAGTTTTATGATGACAGCAAACAACCAGGAAACAAATTGAAGTGCTTCCTCCCCTTTTCCCACCTTCTTTTCTCAGGAATTACTCTTCTACATTTGGTTCTTAACATGTTTGCTATAAATATGCAACATTATACAGAGCGATTATATATAATGCAACATTATAGAGCTGCGTGTATATATAGTGTTTGCTCCTATGTTCTCTTCTTTTGTGAATATATAAAAATGTGTTTACAGATGTGTGGTGGTTCCCGGTTTGTCACCACACTGAGCAGATGTGTTGCCAGAGGTCTCAGAGAGAAACCAGCTGAGACCTCTGCCCAGTGTTTCTCAGTGATGAGACAGAGTAAGGACCTGGAGGACATTTTACTCCAGAGCAAAATTACACATTCAGGGTTTGTGCAGGCTTCTCAGGAGAGCCTTATGGGAATTTTGGGTAGTTTATTTCATAGGTAAGCCTTAATAGAAGGGGGTGGTTCCTGGATTAAATAGAAGGTTTGTCCAGATAGGAATTCAACTAGGTTGGGGTTTCCTCCTCTGCAGGGTTTTTTGTTTTTGTTTTTTACCCTTTTTTGTGTTTTTGAAGTTTTTGGATATGTCATGGTAATAGGTACATGATGGGAACATGAAATTTTGCAAGGCTAACTGAATGGAAATTCATTCCAAAAAAGCAAAGTCTAGGTCAGCCATGCATTCCCAGCTAGTTTGGGCAGTGACGTGATAGATAAAACAGCTCTGTAATTGTTCAGTCTCTATTCCACCATGCACTTTGTCCTTTTCTCCTATGCTTGTGTAGCCTACCTTAGAGCTGCCACTTTTTGTATAACAACTAACAGTGGATACATGACCTGTCACAACTGTCCAGTGGAGACTGTATGGTTTTCCCCACTACACACACACACACACTCCCCAAAGCCCTTACTTTATGTCCTGCATCTGTAAGAGGTTGCATTCAATTGAAGATTGATTGCCCTCCATCAGTTCACCCAGCACTGCCTCAACCTCGACATGGCTTTCCTGTTTGTTGATGCTGTTGGTTGGCTAGGGTGTGTGTACGGACTGCACACTAGAAGGTGGTCTAAGTAATGGTTTGCCTATTTCTGAAAAAAGGGCAAAGTTTAAAAACTATAAATTACTAAAGTCTTCGTACCCTAAATTATCATATAAATGGGGTATTAAGGAAGCTCTAGTAAGGCGCTGGCTATTTGGCTTAATTTGGAGAAAACAGTAGGTAATCATCTTGTTTTTGAGGTGCTGGCCTGTGATGGAGTCCAGGCTTGCCATTGTCTGCCATCGCTTCCTAAGTGCGGTTAGATATGCACCACCACACCTGACTCTTCTCTTTTACTCTTCTAAAGCAGTTTTTGAAGCCTAAAGCTAGCCACTTTCTGTTGTTAGTTAATCCTTATAGAATATAAATTACAGCACTAGTCTTCAAACTTTAGTGTCCCTTGGGGTCCCTTAATCTGGCAAATTCTCTGACCCCCAACCTTTAAAGTTTCTAGGCTTTGTCAGTCTGGACTGGGGCCAGAACTTCCATTTTTGATCAATAATTGTATCCAGTAGTGCTTCTCCAGGGATCATAATTTGGCACCAACTGTGAAGTAAAAGAAAGGTGTATTAGAGACAGAAGGATTAGAATTAAAGTTGGTATTTCATTCTTGTGTTTTGGCTCACATTTTCTAGTCCTTAAGAAAAGTTTTCAAGTGATTACATACAATTAGTCATTTGTTAGCGAAAAAGAAGGCTTAAAAATAGAAATAACTGAAAGATCAAAATGGTTCTTGGATGAAAGCATTGCTGAGGGCTCCCTGAGGCTGCCCTGTAGTAGTGCCGGAGCGCCTGCCCGGCGTGCAGGCGTCCACTCCTCAGGACTACCGCCATGGAAAGTAAAGAGCAGCTGTTGAGGAACGTTGGTACATCTGCACAGATTTACATGAAAATATCTGGTCTTTAGAAAAGAAAATTACCTGTAATCTTTCTAGGTTTTAAAATATTAAATACAGAGAGTTTTAGAAATTGTCAGCAAGTTGTAGAATGGTTTCTTTTTTTCTGAATGACACTGGATCACTTTAAAAATTTATTTTTAAATTAATTCATTTTGAGACAGGATCTTACTAGGTATAGCCTTAGCTGGCCTAGAATTTGTTATGTAGACCAGGCTGGCCCAGAGCCCAGAACAAGTTACTTAGACCAGGCTGGCTTAGAACTGATAGCTATAAGTAACTAAAGTCTTCAGATCACCACACAGTCTCCAGATCACCATTTTTAGGGTGAGGAATCTATAACATTAAGCAGAATGGAGCTGGGATATAGCTCAGTGGTAGAGTGTAGACTTACGCGTGGCCAAGGACACAGTTCATTCCCTAGCACCAAAAGACAGAGTGTAAAAGAGCAAACTCAGCTGGGCTGTGGTGGTGCACACCTTTGTCCCAGCACAGAGGCAGAGGCAGGCAGATCTCTGTGAGTTCAAGGCCAGCCTGGTCTATAGAGTGAGTTTCAGGGCAGCCAGGGTTAAACAAAGAAACCCTGTCTCAAACAAACAAAATTAAACTTATGGATGACAATACTTTGCGAGTATATATGTGTATGTAACATCCAAGAATAAAGAAGGGAAGAAAGGGGATTCTCTAAGCTGTAATTTAAAGTAA